TCCTTTGGATCCCACGCTAGATGCATCAAATACTTGATTCTCATGTCCCAGTTAACGGCACGCGTCATCTGCACTATCCACGAGACTACCATCTCGTGTTCCGGTCGCCACGTACGCCTACCTGTATGGTTTCGCGACTAATATCCCAATCATCAACGAGCACTATATAGAAATTTTTACTCATACTATATGCATACAACACCTTCCTCTTTTTCTTTGATTTCTTTATCCTGAGCCCTCGTCTACGACCATCTCCTTCTTGGTGATGTTGACTTCAATCAATCTTGACGGAAGCTGGCCTGGTCACCAACGCTCTTGTCAATGCACTCAGTCGACGGTTTGGTTCCGAATATTTCTGGCATACGTATGGTTTCGAACTTGATCGTTATGGACGTTTCAGGTTCCTTCACTCACTCTGGTTCCGTCCTACGTCTGCAAAGTTTTCTGGTCCGGACCGTTAGGAACGCAATCTTAAGACTCTGGATACGAGCCACTCTGATGTGGCACTCCAACTGGAGCTGCAAACATGGCACATTACGGTTGGTACCATTCCCCATGAAAGACCTTCGATAACAGCTTATGCATAACGGATCGCCTCCTGTTCGTCAACACTTCCATCCTACAATCGAACGTTGGTCGATCATTCCCCTGAACGAAAGTGTAAACTCTTTTTAGAGGGAGGACTGATGTAGTGGAATACTTTTATCAAAAGATAACGCGACTGGTTTGATAGAATCATTCTTCATTATAACCAACTGTACTAGTAATCTTTTGACTGTACTTTTGTTTTATAACACTCTTGACGCGAACGCTTACTGCTTGTTTCACTGTCATTCTTTGTTTCAATAGCTCTGTAATTTCGACAATGTTTTCTGGAAGGATTTCGGTGTTCTTTCGACACCACGAAATCGCCATCAAATATATTCTTTACCCTGGATTTTTTGTCTCCTGTGTGATGGGTTCGTAATTAGTATTAAGTGGTTTATCATAGTCAATCTGGATACGATCACCACTAAACCCCTTTCAGTTCACTTCCACATTGGATGCCTGATGGGTCTGTTAAATACATATATACTTTGAACATTTCAACATCATCTGTTTAAACGCACATCGGAAGTCGCATATTTTAGAAATACATATCCACCGTTATAAGTGTAGATTCTGTTGTCAGATTCACTTTGCACTCAAACACTTATGTTCATCTGAGAAAAATATTCTGAATAGTATATCTTGTAACTATAAGTAATAGTTCAAAGGAATTCACTATTGATATTTGTGTCTCTCTGAGACTAATTAGACTTCATTCACTAGTATATAGTAGTCTCTGAGCATTGAACAGCATTGATAGATGGATTTAGGATGGATCATAAGCTACTATCCAAAACAAAGATTTAGGATATATTCATGTAAAGGCATCGACTTAAATACAATGAAGCATAAATTTGGTGGATAAAAGTTTATGTTTAAGACTTCAGCTACTGACTTAATTGTAAGTAGCATAACTTTATTGAGTTAAATAGTTCAGTAGATTTGTTATACTCAGCAGTGGCTTGCTAACAATATCATCAAACGCTGAGAAAAGTGATAAAGTTTGTTTCTGTTTGGAAGCATAGAGAATCATAGGTTTTATGTAAGTGAAAATGTTTCAGGATCGCCGTTAGTTTAAAATAAACTGAAATTTCGTTTCATCTGTTCCGGTCTAAAGATTACATATAAGTAGGCTGTGATGAGGTAGGTTATTTGATAAGAAGGTTCGTAAGAATTATAAATATCGATAATTTAGATTTAAACAAGGAATTATGTAATGCTATTAATTACATGTGTTAAAATTGAACTTATCTCTAACTTTCTATAAACATAACAGCCAAATGCTATAATTAACAAATGAGGATATATAGATTTAATTCGCTAGATGAGTAACAAGTGAGTTGAAAATATAAGGGACCTAAAGAACTATATACATCTAGGGAAAAAGAGATGTATACATAGTACCTTACTTACTGACTAACGCCTGTTACCCTCAATGGACCATAGGCCGCCTAACAGTATTCTACAACCTGACCTTTGTTCGGCCTTTCTCTCAATTTCTGTCCAATTTTTGTTCATTCTTTCCAGGTCTGTCTCGGTTCCTCGGCGTAATTTGTTCCCTGACCTTGCTCCTTTCCTTTGGCATTAAGGATTCCAAGTGAGGGCTTGTCATGTACCGCTTGTATAATGAAGAAATAACTGATAAATAAAACTATCAGAATAACATGGTATCTTAATTGCTAACTTTTCTCGAGAACCACTTGTAATATGT